AAAAAAAAAAAAAAAAAAAAAAAAAAAAAAAAAAAAAAAAAAAAAAAAAAAAAAAACCATGCACTTACCCTCTATGGTATCACATCCGCTAAAGATTCAATTAGCTGTGTCCGTTTCGTTTCAGCGCCCCTTCCGTTGACGCGACTTCAAATTGGAAAGAAAAGAAACAACAACAACAACAACAATCTATGCACTTTATGCGGATGAGTAAAAAAATTTCGCGAGACGTTGCTGCTCCTCCAATGTGCTTTTTTTGGTACGCGTAGGCGGATACACCGAGAGCAGAGAGAGAGACGATTAAGAATTAATTTTTATACAATAATACGACGAGTAATAGACGAACAATCCGCATATACACGCGCACCATCCTTTCACACACAGGTGTTTTTCATGTGAGTCATGATGAGTAAGTATCACATGGAGGCTGGACTCGGCTCTCTCTCGGGAAGTCTCATCTGAACTCCAGAATCCGCAATTCGGAGTCAGAGAAGGGTGGAGGTGAAGGAAGTGGAGTTTTCTTTTTTCTAGTATAGCTCGATGGTAATTGGCTACAACAGCCTGTTGACTCGAACTAAAACCTCATCGTGATTGGCTGAAACGGATCGATTGAATTTTGGCGCGAAAATATCTTTCATTTGAAAAACACAACTGCTTTCGAAGGTTTAACTAATAATTTGGAAACAATGGCGTGTAAGTGCATAATCATCATGTGCAACCATTTTACATAATTGTTTTTTTATACATTTAATACTTTTTCCTGTTATTACGTTACAACAAATTTCTTTATTAATTAATATGAAAAAAAACATGCTGCTATTTGCTTGCGAACCTCTCCTTATATCATTTTCTGTATTCAATTAGTAAAGAAAACATTAATATTTAAATTTACTATAGCAAGGGCATATATGCCATTGTTTTTCGGGATAACTAAAGGTTACAAAAATTGATTGAAACATCATGACATTTTACCAACTAAATTGATTAGTGTTAAATAGATGAAAAAGGTTTTTAAAAAAGAAGATTTGTAAAATTTTGTTAGTTTAATTTAGAAACCTCATGGCTCATCTTAATATTTATCATTATAGTGAAGAATAGTACAATTTCCAAATTAGTTTACGTGAAATATGTTGTGTAGTGAATTAAAAAAAAAAATTTTTTAACTGTGTAAAGCACGAACATTTGGTCACACGTCCATTACGAAATGTAGAAACTGTCACCAAACTGTCATTACACCTCTCGTGTCACGTCACTCGTGTGCAATGTGGTTTTTGCTTGAACGCGCCTACCCTCGAACAATTGCTCTGAATTGCGGGTTACACCTGCCGTAGGTACTATTATTGTCATTGTCTTTATGGTGTGGTTTCAATACAGGAACACCGTTTCATCGGTATACATGTATTTTTTTTTAATTTTTTTTTTTTTTTACTTTTTGTAAACGGAATAAAACAGTGTGGCTAGTGATACAATGTAACGATTAATTTATCGGTTCAATTGGCATAGGTAATGAGTAATAAAAAATCTGCAAGAAGTATATTTTACGAGTAATTTAATATACAACACATCAAACATATCATTTTTTGTTTACAAATTTTCCTTAAACAAACATTGCTTTATACTCATCGTATATTATAATGTACAATTTAACCCTTTGATCATAAACAATCGCAAACTTAATCGCAATTTTATTTACAATAAAATTACTTTCCTTTTTTTTTTACCTCTTTTCGTTTTATCCTTCACTTTTGTGTAACAGCGAGAGATTATAGAATTCGGCGAACGCCTTTTCCCTTCACAAGACGAAATATATGGACGTATAGCACTCGAAAATTTCTCACGATTGAAAAATTTCAAGGCCGAACGTCTGCATCGATCTTCAGAGATTTTTCCACCACAGTAAGGCAATATATTAATTACAATGTATATCAACGTACGTAAATACTAAAAATCCTTACTTAATAATCAATTCATTAATAATTAAATTATTTATTTTAACATACTTTTGGTTGTTGTCGTTACTTTAATTTATTAACCTACGTATTCTTCTTTTAATTTTATAGTCAATTGTGCTCCACTTAATATTTTTATGTATACTCGTAATTAATTAACGTTAGCGTCGCCTTCATTTCCATTCAGCGACTTATGTTTATTCATCTTCATTGCGTTGTTTTTTCGTGCCAACGTACAAAAAGTTCCCTCACACGTGTTTGTGCTCAAGTAGACTTTAGGGTACTTTTTTTATTTATTTATTTATTCTTTTTCTTACTCGACTAACCGTAGACTTTTTACTAGAAAGCTTTTTTTTTTTTTTCGTTTTATTTGAAGGGGCAGTGACGCATCAGCGGACTTTTTACGTATTTACAGTGCAATCTTCATTAAAGTAACGTTTTATTACCCAATAATCGGGACGAGTGCAATTTGTGTAATTTAAATTATGGTTACATGTTTCTTTTTTATAATCAAAGAAATTACAAAAGTATTATCTGTTAGCTCGATTGATTTATTTATTAACTTTTTTTT